CTGTGCATCTCAAAGAAATAAAATCAAATTCAAAAAATTAAAACCATAAGAGCCCCAGTGCTGCAAGGCCGGTGCTTAGCACACATACAAGAGGGCGCTGTGTACAGCACCTCCAGCGCAGGGCTGGACAGCCCACCCAGCAGCCTTGCCTTGGACCTGAGCCCCAGCAAGCCAGTGAGGCTGGGTCTGGAAGGTGAGCGTGGAGATGAGGCAAACCAGAGGCTGCGCCCGAAGACACTTTGCTGAATTCCCATCCTGGGCTGGGCACCGACGTGGCTTCCTCCACCTGGGCATGGGAACTGGGGGCGGCCACTGGGAGGAGAGCCAGGAGAGCGAGCGCCCGTGCTGAAGTCTTTCCCCGATGAAAGAGAGGTGTGGAGGCCAGTTCAGCAGCTCCAGCTGGTGCTGGCAGGAGAGAACGCATCCAAACCACACTCCCGCCCAGGGCTGCACACCTACAAGCTCTGTGGGGAGGTGGGGCTTCCCCAGGTGGCTGGGGGGGGGGGGGGGCGAGCCTGGACTCTGAGAGAGCAGGGGCCAGAGGAAGGCAGAAAGCCCACTCCAGCCTTCTGCAGGGCCAGGCCACCAATCCAGGAGCCCACCTGTGTCTGCCTGCAGTGGGTGCCCCTAAATGCGCAGGTCCCAGGTTTGCAACACACAGGAGGGAGTGGGTTGTGAAGTGGAGCCAGCAGGAGAACAAAGGACGCTTTGCTGGAGAGGGAGGCACCTTCCATGAAGCCCTCGGGGGCTGGGGAAGTGACTCACTGGGCCTGGGGGATGGACCCACCCATAGGGGCTCCGTGGGACCAAGGCTGCAGCCCAGTACCCAGGCAGGAGCCCCATGGCATCAGGTAGAGGTGGTCAGCCCACACCTGCCCCCGTCCTCAGGAGGGTCTCCCCTCCTCCCTCGGGACCGGGTGTGCATCCAGCCCGAGGGACCTTGGGGACCGGCCCTGTGCCTCATTAGGCACTGCCAGGCGGGGCTGTGGGCGTGGTAACTCCTACTCTCATCTGCCCAGCAGGGACCTGGGCTCTCCTGCTCTGGACAGGGCCACCCTGCTCCCCCGCCAAAACGAGGCCATTGGTGCCACCCCAAAGCAGTGTCCGGCTCTGTCCAGAGGCTCCCCCGATGCCTGCGATGAGAATTTGGGGAGCCTTCACTGCACGCCCCAGCTTCTTGGGCAGTTGCACAACTTCCCCCCAATTATGCTCCGTACCCTGTGTGGCAACCAAGCGAGAATTCCAGGCCCTTGTACGTACTCGTATAAATCTGCCTTCCTGCTGTTTGGCTGCAGGGCCAGGCGTGTCCCTGTGGGCCTCGGGAAATGGGGGTGTGTTCGCGTCCAAGAGGGCGTGGCCCGCGTCCGCGGCAGGAGCAGCCACCCAGCCCTGCCCCTGCAGTCTGCTCGCCCCCAACCGCAGCTTCTTCGGGAGCCCTGGATCGACTCCAGGCCACAGAGGCGGCGTCTCTGGTGACATTCTCAACACAGGCTTCGAGCAGCAGGCCTGGCCCAAGCAGCCGGAGCCCAGGCTGGTGCTGTCCAGCCAAGGACCTTCTGGGGGAAGGCACCAGCCTCCAAGGTCAAGGCCAGAATGTGGCTTGGGTACACTTGCCCTCCCGGGCCCTACCTCTGCTCCTTAAGCCATTGTCCTGGTCTGTATGTCAGTATAGACGGCATCCAAGGGCTGAGGTCCTGGGTCGTAGCTCTAGGTTAAGGCAGAGCTTTGTCCCCACCATCCAGGGACCAAACGGTGACCATCAGGACCAGCTGTTCTATGCAATGGAAAGAAAGTCATGGGTCGGTGCTGTGGTGCAGTAGGTTAATCCTCCGCCTGCAGTGCTGGCATCCCATATGGGTGCTGGTTCAAGTCCTGGCTGCTCCACTTCCAATCCAGCTCTCTGCTGTGGCTTGGGAAAGCAGTAGAAGATGGCCCAAGTCCTTGGACCCCTGCACCCATGTGGGAGACCCAGAGGCTCTTGGCTCCTAGCTTTGGATAGGCCCTGCTCCAGCTATTGCAGCCATTTGGAGAGTGAACCAGCAGATGGAAGGCCTTTCTCTCTGTCTCTCCCTATTACTGTCTGTAATGCTACCTGTCAAATACATAAATAAAAAATCTTTAAAAAAAGAAAGAAAGAGTTCTCAGGCAGCTGACCCCAGCTCCCCTCCCCTGGCTTCTCATTTGAGAAGTCATGTGGTGAGGCCTGAGAGGTTGCTGGCACTCCCTGCTAATCCAGGAATGTGGGGTGACCTGCGCTTGGTGCTATGGCCAACTTGAGAGTGGTCATATTTCTCTTCCAGACAACTTGACAGAGCCAGGAGCAAACAGTGGGGCGCAAACACTTCCTGTGGCTAAGTAGCTGTGTTCCCTTGGCCTCATGGGACGTCTGGCCCTCCAAGCTCCCCGCAGCGGCTGGCAAAGGCCACCCTTCCCTCCCTGATGTTGCTCCGGGGCTTGGAAGCGTAAGGGTCTCTGCAGTGAAGCCGGGACCCTTCGACACCCAGTGTCCAAAGCCTCAGCAGGCACACCAGCCCCCGTTTCCCAGTGGACTCCTCCTGCCGTAGTGGTAAATTCTAACCTTGGTCTCTCCCTGCCAGGCCTAGAGACAGCTCCATCCCTGTGGGGAGTGAGCCTCCCACTCTGCCTGCAGCTCTGAGGTTTTGAGAGCTCAAAGTGGCTCAGGCAGGGGCCTGCATGCCCAGCTTTGGGGTTCCCAAACCTGTGTCAGAGGTCAGCCTGGGATAGGGGGGTGGGTTCCCCTGGGGCTGCAGTCTACCCCTTCCGCGGAAAGCTCACAAGGACGTGGTTCAGACTTGCAGAGGCAGTGAGGGCAAGGGCAAGGCCAAGGCACTGGCTTCGAGTCCAGGGAGAGGGGGACCAACCCCTGCTCAGCTCCCCTTTCCCGCCCCTCCCCCCTCACCGGGGCTGTGCTCCTTTTGGGTCACCATGCATGCGTGGCTCCTGGCCGGAAGCTGTCCTTAGCCCTTAGCTGTTTCTTCCTCTCCGCTGCCCAGAACGTGTCACCAGGGACGAGCTCCTGACGGAGAGGGATTCTGCCTCTCGGCCCGATTTGTGAACCCAGCCATTTCCTCCCAATTCTGCTGTCCTTGGAGACCTCCCTCCAAGCAGGTGCCTTGGTGGTCTTCCTCAGAATATGCTGGGGTCACAAAATCAAGCAGGAAAACTGTCTTGGGCTTTCTGCTGGACAGTAGAGCCTTTTCTCTTTGTAATCCCGTTGTCCGTTTCCATGGATACCGACAACAAACCTTGTTTGGGCTAATGAGGAATCTCTCACTTTAAATAAAGGCAGGAGCTGCTTTGGACAAATATGCACTCAAACCATTCCTCTACTCTTACAATTCACTTTTTTTTTTTTTTTGACAGGCAGAGTGGACAGAGAGACAGAAAGGTCTTCCTTCCGTTGGTTCACCCCCCAATGGCCGCTGCGGCCAGCGTACTGCGCCGATCCAAAGCCAGGAGCCAGGTGCTTCTCCTGGTCTCCCATGTAGGTGCAGGGTCCAAACACTTGGGCCATCCTCCACTGCACTCCCGGGCCACAGCAGAGAGCTGGCCTGGAAGAGGGGCAACCGGGACAGAATCCGGCACCCCGACCAGGACTAGAACCTGGTGTGCCGGCGCTGCAGGCAGAGGATTAGCCTAGTGAGCTGTGGCACCGGCTACAATTCATTCTAAGGACATCCATTACAGAGCATTTTAAGACTTGTGGCTTTTATCTTACGGAGTGATGCAGTCTCCCCCGTGTAGGCTCCCCTGAATCAAACCCCCACTGGAGATGAGCGAGCTGCCAGGGCCATGCCATCAGCTCCAGGCCGGGCCAAGCCCTCTCTGTGGAGCCACCTGGTTCAGCAGAGCCGGGGGCAGTGGAGAGGACTGGCCGCATCCTCATCACCCGAGACTAGGTCAGTTCCACGTGGCTGCCCTGAGCCCTTGCCCACTCGCCTTCCACTCATTTGGAATTACTTCTGGAATCACCCTGTGACATCACACTCCCTGCAACACCTCGTCAGCCTAGGCATCAGACTCAAGGCCAGTAGGTGCCCCCTCTGGCCACCAGTTATCCCTCTAGCTCTATCCTAATGTCCCTTTTAACAAACAAACAAACAATATTATTTATTTACTTAATTTGAAAGGTGGAACAGCAGAGAGAGGAAGAGGAAGGTGTCCCACTCACTGGTTCATTCCCCGAATGGCCTCAATGACCAAGGCTGGGCCAGGACAAAACCAGGAGCCTAGCTTTCCGTCCGGGTCTCCCACATGGGTGGCAGGGACCTAAGTACATGACCCCATCACCCTCTGGCTCCCCTGGGCCATTAGCAGGGAGCTGTATTGGAAGCAGGGGAGCTGAGCCTCGAGCTGGCACTCCGAGGTGGGGCGCAGGTGCCCCAAGCAGTGCCCGCCCCCTCCCCACTGTCTGGAGCCGAGCATCCTGCTTTCAGCCCCCAACCCCCCTCCCCCCGCCCCGGCAGCTCCCTTTCCTGTTCGCCTTGGTACTTCCTGTAGGAGGAACTCCAAACAGGGCCCCGTGGGATGGAGCTGTGGCGGCCGACAGAATTCTCTAGGGAATCCGTCTGCCTGGGCTCGGCCCGCTGTCTCCTCTTGGCCGAGGGCAGGACACAGACCGCTTCCCAGCCCCACCTCCACACTTTCTCTGCCCCCTCTGCAAATCTGATAGTGTTCTGGTGCGCGCAGACTGAGCTGCAAAACCAACACAGTGCACAAGGCTCACGGCACCGTGAGCCCTGGAGTCAAGGCTAGGGTTCTGGGGAGAGGGGAAGTCAGTCCACGCCCACACCCGCCATGTGTGGCAGCAGGATGTGCGCTGGGTGCCTGGGGCTCACGCGGTCACTCAGGGCTCCAAGATCAGGGAGCTCTGGGACACTCAAGGTCCTCCTTGTCAGTGGCCAAGTCCCAGTTAACACTCAAGCCACGGCATCTTCCTGTGGCTCCCTCAGTGGCTAAGAAACAAAGCAGCCGTGCCGTAATTTATAAAATACCATTTATTTATTCTAAGGAACACAGTCAAGTAGTAGCTTTAAAAAAAAAACCAACACACTCTTTAAAAGATAGTATTAAGTGTTGTGACCTGGCTTGGGGCTCCCCCCGATGAGGGGGCCGGTGGCAGGGCCGCCTGCGTTGGCAGAGGTGCACTGGGAGACGGAGACGGAAGTCAGCAGTGGCCGGGCTCTCTGTCCAGTCCCTTGGCCATCAAGAAAAACTCGCTTGGAGGTTTACAAAGAGCAGAAGAAACATTGACACTGCTGGTATTTGACCAAAAGATTGCTTAATAATAGATTCATTCCAGGAAGTATAAAAATGCTTTCAAGGAATCCATAATTTGTCCTGCATGTCTATGGGGACTGTGAATCTCTACTAGGAGAGAGCACAGTGCTTCCCTAATTCAGAAATTCTCCAGTTGACGTCAAAATCATACTTCTGGATTTTACTTAATTAGTGAAGAAATAAATAAATTAGAGTAGCATTTAAGTAAGTCCTTCCTCTTCTTTCTGAGCACAATGATTTAGTCAAAAAGATGGTTTGCTCGGGAATGCTGGAGAGCCTCAGCCCGTGGGTAGCCACGCCGGCCGCGTTAGACCAGACAACTCTGTGCGCCCGCGCGCAAGCACACAGCACGGAGCTGTTTGCACAAGACTTCCTTCCTAATGAACACAACACTTTCTCCTCCTTTCCGATGGGAGCCTCAGATGCCAAAATGCAGCTGTGCCAACTGTGGGCGCGTTGCTAAGCCGAGAAGCCCAGCGAGTTTGCCCAGCAAATTAGATTGCACGGTGGGGCGGCGTCTGCTCTGGGGCCTCACACAGGAAGCAGCTGCTCTGTGCTCCCGGCCTGGGAGGCAGGTTGAGGCTGGTGGCCCTTAGAGGCCACGGAAAGGGGGGTCCCAGGGGACAGAACGTGAGCTTTGCGGGAAAACACTCAAAGACTCGGGGAGATTGGAGCCTGCGGGGATACCTTCAACCTCCTTCACACCAAGTCTCCTGGGCTCCCAAGTGATCTGTGGTCCTCCCAGCTGGCCCCGGCCCCCTGGCTGGCCTCAGCCATGGCCGGCCACCCCTCTCACACTGCGGTGGAGGCCTCGCAAGTGGAGTTGCGCCCGATCGAGACAGAAAATGCCCCACACTTAAGACTGCGCTCAAAAGCTGCCGGACACCACCTGTCTGCTTCTCCCTGGCTCGCATCCGATTAGGGGTTGTGAATCAGAAGTCAGAGTCTGTGCTGCCCAGAAGGGGCGGGCAGAAGCAGCAAGGGAACACCCAAATGCAATAAATAACTCCCCCCCAGGGCAGGGGGGAACAGGGCCAGTGCACCCCCCACCCCGCCACCGCGGCCATTCGCTCCCGCATTTGTGCTGAGGGCAGATTCTCACCCCGAACCTCCCTGCACCACAACCACCACCAGGCTTCAGTCTTTCGCTTTGCTTTACCACGTCACTCACGGCGTGAACTAGGAACGGAACGTGTTTACACAAACAACAGTGGTGCATCAGCGTCTTTACAATATTAAAGGAGTCATATACAAGTCTACAGCATTGTACACAGGGCGGCCCATCCTCTAGTTCTCCGTGCTTGCTACACCTGGCAAGAGCCAGCACGTGGGATGGGGTGGCCGGGCCGGGGGGTGGCCACCTCTGGCTGGGCCTGTCGTCTGGGAGGACCTCTTGGGGCCGGAATCCCGGACCACCGGCCCGAGGTGGGGTCTGGCGGCCAGACTAGTGTCAGAAGTGTCTTTAAAACTCAGTGTGCATATTGGGTGGGAAAACTGGAGCTGGGGATGGCTCCCTGAGCTGGGGACCCAGGGGGCACTGCTGACCCATGGGCCCCTTCACGGTGGGGCCCATTCCTGAGGTAAGGTGTGGTCCGGACCGGGAGAGACGTCCCCTAGGAGCCCAGGTGTGAGTACACGCAGACGGGACCGGAGTCCCTGGGCGTTCGTGGGCTAAGTGACCCACCAAGTGCGACCTGAGCCCCCGGAAGCAGCAGAGGGGAGGGCCTCAGACGGTGACAGACCCACCCGGGCCCCAGTGCCCTCCTCCCAGCTGCCCTGCCCCTCCGGGGGCTCTACTTCAGCCCCCGCAGCCCTGTGCTCCCTGCCTGTGTCCCCAGAGCCCCGCAGCGTGTCCCACTGGGAGCGGAGCACCAGATTAAAGCAGCGCTGACCCTCGTGGCCTCCCTGGCTCGTGAGGCGACCCTTCCTTCCGCTGTCAATACTGTAGAAAAATAAGCCACCTCTGACGCGAGACCTACCGGAGCCCGCCACGCACGCGCAGAAGGACACACAGCTGCTCCCAAGTAGCGGAGGACGCCTCTGCCGACCTCGGAGGGGGACACGGTGCCAGGCGTCCGGGCCGGGCCGAGCCGCTGGGAGAGCTGGCAGTGGGCTCCCCACCACGGCATCTTTGGGTCACGCCAACAGTCCTCGGGTGGGCACGCCTCCAGCGGCCCACATGCTGTTGCCATGACACCTGGGGCCCTGCCCTCCGGGGCCAGCCCCACCCTCAGTCTCATGGCCAAGGTGAGGCGCGAGCAGGCAGAATGCCCCAGCACTGTTTCCAGGTCCCTGGGGGTCCCCAGGGCCAAGAAGCCTCAGGCCGGCCCTGAGGCAGGGCCTAGTCCAGGGGTTCCTGTTTTATCCGCACGGTTGTGGGGGTGGGCTGCGGCCGCCGCTCCTCCCGGCACAGCACGTACTCGCTGAACTGGGACGAGTCCACGCCGCCCCCGCAGGAAGCAGCCACGCTGAAGCCTCTCTGGAACAGCCTCTCCAGGACCTGTGCGGAAGACACGGGGGTCAGCCACGCCCAGCTGCAAGTTGGCCTGGCCTGGCTTGTGTGGCACGTGGGCAACACCCAGAGCATACCACCACCCCTTAGGACTCAGCCACGCTCAGGGACAGGGCCACTGCAGAACCACCAGCCGGCGGCCACCACCCTGCTGTCCCCAAGGGATCACAGCCTTGATGTGAGGAGGCCAGAAACGCCGTGAGCCCCTTCCCTCTCCTCTAGGGTGTCACCTGTCCCCTCTCTCCTGCCCCCTAAGCTTCTGGCCAGCCACCTGCTTCCCTGAGCTGCAGGTCTCCCGTGGTTCGAGCCCGAGGGCTCATCCTCTCGAGGGGGCTCTGGTTGGACAGGAGAGGGTGGGGTCCTCTGGGTGCTGGGGTCTCCATGTTCACATGGGTTTGTGCCTCTGTGTGGACTGTGCCTGCAGTAGTGAGTCAGGACTGACAGCAGGAGAGTAGGTGACGGACGTCTACACTGCCTTCGCTCCAAAACACGGGCCTGCCATTGGCTCTGGCGAGAGTGGCTAAGACAAGGCTCCTGCTGTGATGGGGCACCTGCAGCCCCCACACCAGCAGTGGGGGTGGGGGCAGGGGCTCCTCCTCTATCTCAGCCCCTGCTCTGCCTCTCCTGGTACTGTGGGGTTTCAACTAAATCCAGAGGCTGACTCCTGGTGAATGAAACACACTCGGTTGAAAATACTCTGGGCCATTTTTATAGAACATCCTTTTGGGGAAAGAAAAAAAAAAGTACCGATCAATTTTTTTTAAGTCCATCCCCCAGGCGCCATCATTTAATTATGAGCGGGACATAAATTATGCATCGATACATTGTTGCCTCCTCTCTAAGACATCGCAGAGGGCTCCGCCGCTCCGGGAACCGGGCCTCCCTCCATCTCGCTCGGCGGCCGCACAGCCCTCACCTGCACCGAGTTGAGCCTGCAGTAGCCGTTGAGCGGGAAGCGGATGACGTGCGTGGGGTCCTGGTTCCAGCCAGCGTTGACCGAGTTGCACATGACGTCACCGGTCTCAGGGAAGACCTCCTCGATGAGGGCTTTCTCACCACTGAGCGCGATGCGCTCCCCCAGGTCTGGCGTGACGCGCACCACCAGGCAGTCACAGGCCCTGCTGCGGCGCCGCTGCTCCTGTTCCTGCTGCCAGCGCTCCAGCTCACGCACCATGGGCTGCAGCTGGTAGTACCGTGCCTCCTCGTACAGCAGGCTGAAGTCCTGCGGACAAGCACGCACGCAGGGTCGCCGAAGGCCACACCCACCCTGTCCAAGCCCGGGGGCTGCTCCGACTAACAGCATGCACTGGGATACCTGCCCCCATGGCACAGTTGGGGCACAGGAGGCCCAGGGGAATGTGTACCAGCATAAGGCAATCTGGCCATGACACACAGGCAGCCGCTGGTGTGCACCTGCACTGGTCCATCTGGCCCCTGGCGCTGAGGCCGAGAGAAGACTGGTGGGAGGGAGCAGACCTGCTCGGGTTGGATTCTCGGCTTTATCACCTACCAGCTCTGAGCTCCTGAGCCTGTTTCCCACTCTATAAAACACCCAGACATAAACACCCGGCTCAGAGAAAGGAAGTGAGCACACACTATCTTCCAAGTGCCAGGCCCTGACCACGCAGGCCCAGTGCGATGAGGTGTCTGGGGAGGGGATGGTAAGCCCGCCCCTTACCAGGCCCACACTCCTGAGCTGGGCGGGCTCATATGAAGGTGCCTCAGGCCCAGAGGGCAACCCCAAGCCCCAGTCAAGGACACCCACACCCACACCAGCCCCAGCCCTGACTCGTGCCACTTGGGGCTCCCCGTGCAAGCCCGGCTGGTACCCCCAGGGCCCCTGGGTGGAAGGCAAGGAAACCCAACCCCCAAAACAGGGCCCCTCCTGCAGGGGCTCACAGGCCCTAAGCCCGTGCCACCAGCTGGGCCCAGCTTCTGCAGCTGCCCCGAGGGAGGCCCTAGTTCCAACATCGTCGGGACTCCGCCTGCTTCCTGACAGCGGCTCCTCAGGCTCCACCGTGGGCCTTTGCTCTCCTGGCTCTTGCTGGCTCCTGAGGTTTCTTTCACGAGGGAGTCGTACACCAAACACCCCCACGTCTGCTCCTAGCCCACAATGCCTCCACGCGGGAGCAGAGCCTGTCCCACGCCTGGGCGTCTACTCTTGGATTCAAACTGCAAGCCTGGAGGACCCTGGAGAGCTCACCCGGCCCCCGCCAAAAGCCACATCCGCCTCCATCTGCGGCCGCTTCCCAAACCTAGGCCTTCTCTGCCTCTACCCTGGTCCAGAGCCCCCAGGCGCTCTCACCCTTGGCCTGGAGAAGTGGCCTCTGCCACAGGTGGCCTCCTGCATTCACCCCCCTGCAGCCAGCAGGATCGTCCCCCTTTGTAAATCTGATCATCCTTCCCCAACTCACAACCCTGCCACTGCATTCAGGGTCAGAGGCCAAATCCTGAGCTGCCTACAGAGCCTCCCTGGACGCCTTCTGCCCCAGCCCCTTGCCCTGGTCTGGCCCTCATTCCACCTTCATCACCCAGGTAAACCCAAACCCTGCAGAGCCGAATTCCCCATCGTTTCTGCTCACAGAAACCTACTCCTCAAGCATCTGCCCTCCCAGCCAACTGCCAGCATCCCAGGGCAAGGCCCACAGCAGCCTGGGAGTCGCTGGGTATTCAGACGAAGCTCAGCTGCTGGCATTCGCTGGCCGAGTCGGAGAGAGCACAGAAGGGCTCCAGGCTACTGGATCTCTGGCCAGGGGCAGGAAGGACGGAAGGACGGACAGACGGACGTTTCCCGAGTTTCCTTGCTCTGGGATCCCCCGTGCCTTGGATGGGTGTGGCACTGAGGCAGGACACAGGGACCCAGATCAGCTGTCCCAGACAGCTGCGAGCCGGTATCCGGACCAACCGCGAGGGCGCTCCCTCTGCAGACTGCAAACAAGCAGCCCATCTGTGAACCTCTAACTCCTGTCACGAGGGCAGCACACAGCAGTCCTTACACGCGGCGAGCGTGAGACTGGGGTAAGCGGTGCAGTTACACCCTGATAAATCAGCTAAAAATGTGAGAAAACAAAATTAGTTTAGAAAAACTGATTTAGCCCCCAGCTTTATCGTTTAACTTTTTATGGTTGCCATGACGACCGTGAGTCCATTCATTAAGTCACAGCGTCCCCCGTGGAATGCCACAGCACAGGCAGCACCGGGGAGCCGCTGGCTGCGGGCTTACCTTGAAGTCATCGGGGAGAAGCAGCTTTGACGTGCGCAGGAAGCTCAGGACGTAGCGGAAAATCTCGCCATCCCGGTCGATGAAATAATGCTGCTTCAGACTGTCCAGGACGATGGGTTCGGTGCCGTTGAAGAGGCGGCTTATTCTAGGAGAGACACAGGCAAGGTGGTGGGGGCGCCCGGGTCCCCCTGCCCTGCTGCAGGGGGAAGGGGCTGCTCACCAAGGACCCAGGGACTGTGACAGACACCGGGGGAGGTCAAGCCACAGGGCAGCAACACACCCCATCCACACTCACAGGCCACTGCTGACCAGACGTGCCCTGCTGTGCACAGCAGCCTGCTGGTAACATGGAAAACGACACCAGGACACACCCAAAACAGCCACACAACCACAGACCTGGTCACACCCCTTTGCCAGATAGAACCATCCAGAAAAAAAGCACACTGACCATCGCATACCCCAGCCAGAAGCCACAGACCCAGTGAACATCTGTGAACGAGGCAAGACCCAACTCTTGTGGACGAGCATTGGACATGACCGAGGTACCAGTTCACACGGTCCCCTGCCTCCCAACGCACTAATCTCAGGCAAAAGACACACGCCCGCCAATACCAGCCATCCAGAGACCCAAGTCACAAACATCCCACAACCTTCCGTCAGGGTCCTAGAGGAGAAACAGGCAGGCGGGAGTTACGACATGCGGACTATGTGTCTGCGCCACAGCACACGTGTGCACATGCATGCCACAGGACAATGTGTGTGCACACAGGGGTGGGGGGTGACTGGGAGCACAGACAAGTGTCCATGCTCCTGAGGGCAGTGGTTCCAGCAAGTTCAGGACCCACAGGAAGCTCGTGGGATCCCCTTGATGGCTGCTCCTATCCATTCTGGGGAGGAAGAGCCAGGCCGCAGAGCCAGGGCTGGTGCTACCCAGGGTGGCGGGCTCTGTCTGGCTCAGGTTGCAGGCTGAGCTTGGGAGACTTAGGAGCCCTGCAGAGGGGTTGGGCAGCCATGTGGGCATAGCCCAGGAGATGGGCAGTCCCGATTGCACAGCCAGGCCCAAGTCCCTTTACTCTCTGCCTGTGCCAACACTCCACCCCTGCCTTGCACCCCCACCCAAGGACGCTCCTGATCACTCCAAAGGCCCCACCCTACGGCTGCTGCTGTGCGCCCGAGCCCCCGGACCTACACCATCCTGACCCACTCCAGGCATGGGCTGTGAGCATCCCCAGGTATGGAGCGGCCATGCAGGTCACCTGTTCTCCCTGCAGTGTCGTGGCCCAGCCCCCAGTCCAGTGGGCAGCAGAGAGGGCAAGGCTGCTGCATAGGTGGGCAGGAGCAGGTCAGAGCCTGTGGCGAGGGGTATGGAGGCTCCAGGTACAATGCGGCCCCCCAGGTACAACACATCTCTGGCCTCCAAAGACCACAGGGCCCTGTCAGTCCCCTGGCCTGGGGATGCGGCGCCTGCTGGAAAGCCTTTTGTGGGATCCACGGCTTGTCCCTGCTTCCCAGGCCCAAGAGCTTGGCTGTTCAGATGTCAGAGTGAGGGTGAGCTTCGGTATCCCTCCATACAGATATGACCCAGCGAGACTGCTGGGGTTGAGGGCAGGCAGGCAGGCGGCGGCCGAGGGTCCCCATGAGGCAGCAGCAGGAAGTCTGGGCTGCGTGCGCAGGTGAGTCAGCAGATCCAAAGGCTCAGCCGCACTGGGAATGTTCCCCACCCCTCCACGCAGAGCCCAGGCGCTGTGTGCAGAGGCGGCTGCACGGTGGGGGTGGGGGAGGTCAGGCTGAGTTCCAAAGGCTGCGCTGGGGCTCCAGAGGCTCCAATCGGCCCGGGGGGCTCCCAGCCACCCACACGCCAGGGCTGGCTGTGTCCCATGCAGATCCAGGGCGAGACGGTCCTCCACCTGCCTTCGTTCAGGGCGGGCTGGTTCTGGATCTTTCCCCGGTCCAGTTCTGTCCCAGGACCAACTGGCACAGCAGTGCAGCCTCTCTCAGTGCCCTGGGGGTGTGAGCAGGCGGAGGGGAAGTTCGGACAGTCTCCACGAAGGGACCCTCAGCGGCTGGCAGGGCCTCCAGACGGGGCTCCTGTGGTGACCTCCTGGCCTCCATCACCGGCTCCACGTGTGCCCTGGGGAACCTGACCCCCAGCCAGCTCCGCAGGATGTGTTCCAACCACCTGTCCCCCGTGCACAGCGGGAGGCACCGGCAGGTTTTGTCACCTTTCATTTTCTTCTATTTCCAGCTCTGGATGTTTCAGGGCCAGCTCTGACCAGTGCCCGGGCTTCTGGCCGACAGCATCTTCTCTGGTTGCTTCCCGCAGCCAGGATGGATGCCAGAGTGGGGCTGTGACAGCAGCAGCCAAGTGACATCCACTGGACATGAAACAGGCTCAGACCCATGGGTCCACTCCCCGCCCTAGGCAGCTGTGCCAGGACCAGAGGCTGCTCCTGGGTGGGCTGGGGGCAGCGGCTGGCACCAGGCTTTCCAGCACCCAGGCCGTTCTGAATAGCTGAGGACCTGAAGCCCAGGCCAAGAGACCCAAGGGCAGGTCCCCGGGCTTCTATGGCGCTGCCCAGGGAGACACATGTACGTGACCTTGGCACTCTTCCTTGTCAACTTTCAGGCAGCTCTACCCGTGACACTGGGTGAGGGAGGGAATCCTGTCTTCCAGGATCGGGGAGGCACAGTTTTTTCGTTGTGATAAGTCACTCACTGAGAGACAGATCTGGGAGGCGTTTGCCAGCACAGCTGCCCAACCCACTTCCCCAGCCCCGACCAGACCTCCTGTTGGGACTGGGCCACCTCCTGGCCTCTAGGCCACACCTCCAGCCAGCCTGGGGGAGGAGGTGACTCTGTCACGAATCAGAAGCCACCCAGGCATGGCAGCATCTCCTCCCGAGCCTCAGACCCCAGGATCCCTGGGCACAACCTCAGGATCCCACGTACCGGGCTCAGGGCCACAGGAGCTCTGCGAGGGGTCACACACAAAGAAGGCCAGGGAGCGATGCCTCCCTGCCACCCCGGTTCCCCAGGCAGCAGGACCTGACCCCCACCCCCACCGTCCCCTCCAGGTCGGGGGCGTGATTAGAGAGGCAAAGGCTGGGTTTCGGGCGGGAACCACTCTTCAGAGCGGGTTGCGGGCAGAGGTTTTACGGATCCCGCTCACAAACGTCGCCACCCGATTAAGGGATGATCTATCTCGAACAACTCCGGAATGCCGCAGAAGGCAAAATTGAAATTAAATAAGCAGAATCCATCTCCCACCTCAGACAGGGCTCTGCAGGCGCGCACGTGGGTTACTGGTGCTGACAGTCTCCTCCTGCCTCCCGAAACCCCCAGAGCCCCGACTTCATGAAGGCTCAGGCCCCATCAAGCCCAGCCCTGCTGTGTACCCCGGCACGCCCCAAATTCTAAGCCTCAGGCTGGGCTGCAACCACCACCAGCGTTCCATCCTCCGGCGAGCACTGCCGGGGCGGGGGACCCTCAGCCCAGCCCTCAACAGGCTCAGCCAGCAGGCACCTCCCAGCACTAGGATCCCCCTGCCCTGAGCAGCCACGCTGAAGGCCCCTGGAGACCACCCTTTGGTGTCTGAGGATTAATTAGCTCCCCTTCCTACTTGAAATATATAAAAGGAGGGTGATGCCCCCAGCCTCGGCCTTCCCCCACTGCTCAGCCCTCACGGCCCCAACGAGCACTGCTCGTCCCCTCCAGGCAATGCTCACAGATACCCGGCCCCCTCAGGCTGGCCCTACTGCCGTGCCAATCAGAAACCAGGCCCAAGCACCTCGCACAGGCCAAGGGGGCGGCCTGTGCACCCAGCAAGAGGGAGAGGGCGGCTCCCTCGTGGGAGGGAGGAGCCTTCAACCAGAGATGCCCATGCATTGATGGAGGGGTAGGAGGTGCCACAGCCTGGGCTACCCCTGGCCACCCACGAATCCCCAGCTCTCAGGGAACCCTGCTGCGGGTCCAAACAAAGACAGCAAACTGCAGCTCCTCTCCCCCCGCCCCCTCCGCACTTTCCCAAGGGTTACCACAACCCAAATCCACACCCACAATCCTAAGTCACACAGGCCAGGCCAGGGACTCTGAGGAAGAACCTGCAGAAGCCTCAGCTTCCTCAGCTGGCTGCCCATGCCACCAGCCCCCGTGGGAAGCTCCCTTCCACAGGACCCTAGCTCCAGGGTCTGTGTCACAGGGCGGACCCTGGAGAGCCCCTAGGAGCGGCCTGGCGAGGGAGACAGGCCCAGGGCGTTGGCAGCATGCACAGGGCTCCTACCTGGAGTCAGGGTACTTGGTGAGCGTGGCCAGGCTGCTGGTGTACATGTGGCCGCCGACGTCAATGTGGACTGGCGCGTTGGACTTGGTGAGCTGAGCTGGCAGGGGGATGCCCTGGGCGGCCAGGGGAGACACGGGCGACCGGGTGAGAGACAGCCGGGACATGTTTCCTGCTTCCTGGAGACAGAAACAAGGCGGAAGACAAGAGTTTCTCCACGCCGAAGCCAGGCACTCCCTTTATTGCCCGTGTGATCACAGATCTAATCAGATCACTGCCGCCCGTGCCTGATCACATATTCAGCTGACAAATTATGGCCACCACTGTAATTAAGTGTATTTGCATCATTTTCTTCAAAGTACCAGAGGGAAAAAAGAAAGATGCTTATTAGCAATAAGAAATCAAGAAAAAAAAATTTTTTTCAAGGTGTCAGCCTCCAGGGGCATAAAACAAACTGCAAAATTCTAATTAAAGGTCGCGGGCTTATGTGTTAGATGTGAAATATCCCCTGACAAACGAATCACCAATTTGTGAATTGGGATTCAGGGGTTTTTGCAAGTTTGTCTCAGTAACGAGACACCTCTAAATTAGCGACTTCCTCGGCACCTAAGGCGTTGAGTTTTGTACATGTAGTAAATTTCACATCAAATTAAGAGCATTTTTGTTTCAAAAGATACATAATCGTCAACAGCCGGTGGAGAGCCACGTCCCTCGAGAGCCGTGGCCCCGCACAAGGGCAGCAGCCCAGGAGCCGGCGCTCAGGAGAGGGGGCAATGGCGCCGACCCAGGGCACCCCGCAGGCTCACCGCGGTGCCGGCGCTGCCGTGGGCGTGAAGCGAGGACCCGCTCGGCCGCTCCTTGCGGTGAGGCATCTAGGCTTCCATCGCGGCCCAGAGTACCTGTGGGAAGCACCGACAAGACCTGTGGTGGGCACCCATCTCCCACGGCCATGGGCTTAGGATCGTCCTTTCTATCTGCTCCCTGGGATCCCACATGCACCACTCAGCCCTATGGGATTCTCCTGCTGCTGTCTCCATCCCCAGAGCAGACTTCTGGGCCACGCACAGCTCACTCACACACACACACACACACACACACACACACACACACACACACACAACGTGCTTTCTGGGCAGCTCCAGGTCTGCTAACTTGCCTGATGACAGCACTGAAACATATGCTCACCATTATTGGCCCGAAATGTTTCAGAACAAATCTGATTTTCCTGGTATTTTGGTCTACAGCCATGTTACCAAGCGTGTCTCCTCTTGCATCAGCAGAGAGCAGTGCCTACCGAGTCTTGGGGATGGGTCCCCCCACCCGCGGCGGCCCAGGGAAGAGCCCAAGGCTGCTCTTAAGACGCAGTTTGCAATTGGTCCAAGCAGGGAAGCCTCTTCCAGCTGCAGCCCCCCACAGGGAGGAGGGAGAGTCACTTGGGAAGCCACCTCTCTCTCCCCCCTGTGGCTCCCAGTGGCAGGGAGCACCTGCCTTTGTTTGCAGAGTCTGCACCCCCCACCCCAGTTTCTCTCCAGATCCCCAGAAGGGTACTGTCTGGGCCTAATGTATTTCAGCCCTCAGGGTCACATGCCCCCGAGGCATTGGTGAGCTGGCCAGACATCAGCAAATGGCCCCTTTCTCTTCCTCCTCCCCAGAGCCACCCTGTGCCTCTCTGTGCCATAGCCACCTGACATGAGATTGTCCCCAAGTCCCAGGAGCCACCCCCAGGGCACTCTGCAGCCCCAAGCAGGTTAGAGAAGGGCAGTTTTCTGCAGCCCTTCCCACCGCTGCAGGCTGTCTGTCTGTCTCTCTCTCTCTCTCTCTCTCACACACACACACCCCTCCACAAACCTCACCCAGACTCCTCTCCTACAGGTTTAACCCTTGAGAGAGCAATCAAACGTAGTGCTTGGGACCCAAAGGGCTGCTTTTTCCTGCTAAACTCCAGCAATGAAATTTGTGCCTTGAAATGCAACATTGCATTTTGAAAACACCCGGCGAAGGCCCCATGGGACTCCCAGGCACGGAAGGAAGGTAACTGCCCTCCGATGTGAGCTGGCCAGAGCGCCCTGGCAACTTCCCTGCACTGACACTCTCTGGGGCCAGGGGCTTGCTTTTAGCTGACCGTGGAGTTCAATTTCTACCTTCATAGGGGCCTGCTGTGAGGGACAGTCCTGAGTCCCAGAAAGCTTACAAAAAGAAAAGAAAAACCAGGTCACTTATGTCAAGGAAGTTCGAAGAAACCAAAACGACCTCAGGAATGGATTACTGGCCCTAGGAGGCTCAGGGCACCCAGGGTTAACCCAGCAGAGAGGAATTCCCAGAAATCCCATCAGTGCACACTGCACAACCGCACCCCTTGCTACCATGCACTAACTCCAAAGTGACAGTACCCCCACCCCGACAAGCACAATCTGATGATGTCTACGGCCCAGACACTCACCATCGGAAGCCCCAGGCAATGCGCCTCACCCCGAGTCTCCAGTGCTCCCTCCGACAAATGCATCGGGGCTGGCCGGCGACCCTTCCCTCGACACCACAGCTACGGTGAGAAGCACAAAAGCGGGTGCACTCAGACACACAAGTTCTTTCCAGCAACAGCAGCATCAAGCCCACGACGCAGCCGCCTGTTGCAGCGGCGCGCGCCAGAGGGCCCGCGGGTCTCCAAGGCGGCCCGGTATTGACCTGGTTCTCCGGGCTGCGGCGGGAGCCCCCCGGTCCCACGCCCGCCTGCCGCCGCCGCCGCCGCAGCCGAGCCCCGCCCGCCGGAGCGGAGGGAAGTGAGCAGACTGCCACGCTCATTTACACACAAAATGATTTTGTGTCCCATTGTGCTCGCAGTTGTTCAGCTCTCTGGGGGTGATTAAACTGGCTGAGCTGCGGCAGCTTGAGACGATTTCACTAAATCGCTTCTTCGTGAAGTCGCTTCTCTGCTAAGCTGTTATTTTAACCATAAAAGGTAAACAGACGGCGCTGCGCGAGCGCCCTGGGCGCGGGCCCGGGGCGAGAGTGCCAGGCGCCCGCGGATTCGCTCAGGGGTTGAGGGTGCAGGGCAGGCGCCCGGTCACTTGGTGCGCGTCCGCTCCGATGATGCATCGGCGCCTCTGTTGGAAGCGCCGGCCGCCGCGAACTTCGGGGCGGCGGGAGGCGGCGGGCCGGGCCGGGGTGGCCCCGGCACCCGGAGCGCCCGGCGGGGCGGGGAGGGGTGTGCGGCGGGGGCGGGGACAAAGTTAAATCAAGAGGCAGACACTTGGAGACCACAGATGGGAAGCTCGCCTAATTAAGGACGTAAAAGCGCTTTTGTTCTCAAAGTTTATTGTTGCCGGGATTAAAAAAAATTAATTGAAACTAATGCTGTTATTCACTCGTGCAGTTAAATTCCTTCATGCACATTTGAGACACGGAGTGAAAACTTGCAGCTTTTATCTTTCTGCAGCCGGGGGCTCGGGGAGGACAGAGAGGCGCGGCGGCCGCAGGGCTGGGGGTGTCGGCGGCTGCGTGCCCGCTGCGCGCGTCCAGCTCCCGGGTGCGCTGTGCCCCGGACCCCGGCGCGCCCGGGACCCCCGCCAGCGCTCCGGCCCCGGACTCGCCGGGTGGGCTTCAGCGGACTCGATCTGTCCCGTTAGAGACTTTTTCTTTCTCTGATTTGGGCGCCAAACGGGGCCCTGTGCGCCCCCAAAGCCCCAGCTTGCGCAAGCCGGTTTCTGACCCCGGAAACTCGCTGGCTCCAGCGGGGCGCTCGGCCGGCCCCGTGCGGGGGCCAGAGTGCAGGGACCTGCATACACTCACGCGCACAGCCCGCGCGGCAGGAAGCTCGCGGCCCGTCCGCGTGGGGAGGGTCCACCCGCGCCCAGGACCAGCCCACGTGGGTACCCCCCCACCTCGCGCCAGGCCTTTGTGCCGGGCGCCCCCGCCGCTCAGCAGAGGGACAAAGCAGCCGCCCCCGCCCAGGTCCGGACCCCGGCCGGGCCACTTTCTGGCCATCGCGGGCACTTTGGGGACTGGGGTGCGCGGCCGCTGAGCGCCGGCCGCCCGCGCTGGGCTTACCTCGGAGCCGGAGCGGCGGATCGGGCTCGGACGCAGCCCCCGCCCCCCGCAGCCGCCGGTCTCGGGCGCCGCGCTCAGCCTGGCCGCCTGTGCTCGCCGCGCGGGTCGCTCCGGTCTCGTCCTGGAGTTACTTTCTCTCTCGCCCCCAACCCTCCCCCCACCCACCCCTCCCGCCCCGGCCCCCGCTCCGCGCGGCCCCTCGCGGCGCGGCGCGCCGGGGCCTCCCCTCCCCGCCCTCCCCTCGCCTCCTCCCCTCCTCGCGGCCGCCGCCGCCGCCGCCTCCTCCTCGCGCAGCTCTCTCGCTGCCCTCCTGCCGCTCCCACCTCCTCTCCTCCCTCCTCTCTCTCCAGCGGCCTCCCCCGATGGCTTGGAGAGACAGCCAGCCCCCCGCCCCAGCCCGTGGCCGGCGTCTCGCCGCGGCCCGGCCCGGACGCAAAGGGCAGCGAGCCGGCTGCGAATGACCCAGCGCGGCGAGCGCGAGCGGGCGCGCGCGGCGACTCCTGGCTCGGGGCTCGGCTGCGCCGCGGGGCAGAGGATTAGAGTCGCAATTAGCTCCGCGCGCCCGCGCCTGCCGCGCTCAGCGACAAGAATGCGCCGCTTCCCCTCCTCTCGCCCGGCGATCCCCGCCCGCCTGTCGCGGAGCCCGCGCCTTCCCGCCGGGGCCGCCGCCGGGACCCTGCCCGGAGCGGTGCGCCCAGGCCCGCGCGCTCCGCGGCCCAGCCCCCCGCCCCCCGCCGGCCGGCCACGCGGCGCCCGGGCCTCCTCCGGGCTCGCGGAGGGGGCGGGGGAGAAGCTGATTTTAATCATTGTCATTTCATCTGATGTAATATTTCCCCGGGCGCTTTCAGCTGGGCATAAATTTTCGGCTCCCAAATAAGTAACACAGGGCACGTTTCTCACATTTCTTGACTCCTCGGTTACAAAGAGGAGAGCAGCAGCCGCCGCCGCGGCGCCCGGGGCTGGGGGCGGGACTTGGGGAGAAACTGGGCTGCGAGGCGGCCGGGGCTGGAGCGGGGCCGGGGGCCGCGGGCCGGGGCCGCCCCTCCCCCTCGCCGGCTGGCTCCCGGGGTCCCTGCCCGGCCGCCCCTCTCCCGGGGAGCTGCGCCGCCCGTGACGTCTGCGGACACGCGGCCGCCACCGCGGGGGAGGGGCGGGCGGGCAGGGGGCGCCGGGCCAGCCGCCCGGGGCGAGGCGCGCCATTTCCTTTCCGCGCGCGGCGCGACCGAGGCGGCGGCGGCGGCACAGGGCTCCCTCCCCGCGACTCGGAAGCCTGTACCCCGGGCGGCCCCCTGGGTCCCCGCGCCTGCCGCCCCTTCCTCCTCCTCGCCCTCTCCGCCTCCCCTTCCTCTTCCTCCTCTTCCCCCGGCGCCCCGCCCGTCTCCTCCTCCTCCTCGACCATTTCCCGGCTCCTAGGAAACCGAGCGCAGAGCCTCCAGCGCGCCCGGCCTGCACTGCGCCCCCGCCTGGCTCCCGGGACGCCCAGGCCAGAGCCAGGCTCCGGCAGGAGGGCGGGTGCGCTCCGGCCCGGAGCCGCGCCGGGGCCCCGATCTGGACTCCGGCCGGGCCTGGGCTCCCTCTAGCGGCCTCGCTCCCAGGGGGCGCGGGGGCGCGGGGGCGCGGGCGGCCTCCCTGCACCCGGGGACCCGGCGCGCCGAAACAGCGCCCGGACCGCGCTGCCGTGTAACTTCTGCACCCGGGAATAAGCCGAAACTTTCCTCCTAAGGGAAGGTTTTTATTTTTATTTATTTATTTAGAGCTCGAACTACGGGAGAAGGGGGAAATTTTCTCATTAAAGTTACATCCCTGCAGTTAGTTCAATTACTTGATATATGCAGAAAATGTTGTAAATTTATAGATTTAAATAGCTTACAAAGATGCCGCAGGCCCCATCAGTTAATTTCCTTAATTTATGGATTTTTAGCTGCTCCTAGAACCGAAAGGGACCCAGGAAGTAGGTCAGGGATCCGTGCAGTGGCTGCAGCGCGGCCCACGGGCTGTCCACTCCGCTCCCCACGCCCTGGCTCCCAGAGCTGCCGGCCCCCAGCTCTGGCCAGGCGGCACCGGTAGTAGGCTAGGCACCCCGGCCGGTCCAGCCCTGTGACCGACTGCGCCAATCTCCGCAATGTTGGCAGGGGCTAGGAACAGCAAAGGCCCCCAGCTAAGCACATCCCCCACCCCATGCCACACCCCCGTCCCCCGCAGACCCAAATACATGAACCAAGAGTCCAGATATTGTGACCCCTCGCCCAGGCTGGCTGGAATCGCGGGACAGGACACCGCCAGCGTCAGGACAGAGCCTTCTGTCTGCCAGGGCCTTCCGGGAGGGGCGCAGGGACCCTCTGAAATACTACTAGAGACTGTTCCCCTCGGTGGCGGCCAGAATGTCTTTGTTTTGTGTTCCATACAGATGAATATATACATATAAATTAATACTTAAAAGATTGGTACAAACTCGGCTGTTTCAGGAAGCCACTTGGCAGTGTGGTTAGTATTGGTATTCATGTTTTAACATTTCTTTTCCCACTAGATGAAGTTTCTAAGATTTGCAAGGTACATGTCAAGGACGGGTGTATAAATGGATTTTTATTTATTCACAACTCCAAGACTAATTGCTTCTCTTTGCCTCAAGGCCGGGAGATTGGTTTGAATATGACACTTCAAAAGTATTCATGGAACTACAGAGTTACTAAGTGTCATTGTTTAGGAGACAAATCTCACCGTGCTACCGGTGACCCTGAGAACAGGATGTCCCACGTTAGTTTAAATTCCTACGTGTCTTTTTTTCTTAAGAGTTTCACTTTATACCAATATATTAAAAATGCACAGTTTAATTGAAACAAGAGCTGACCATTTGGAAGGACCTTGATTTCCCAATATGCTGGGGACTTTTGTTTTCTTATTCCCAAGTCCTTTTCTGAAAGAGCCGAACTTTGTACATGTCATGAAGAAGAGGCAGTTCGGGTCATAATTTATTCTCGAGCGTTTTAAAAGTTCCTGAGTAAATGTCAGCCATCTCTCACATTGAGAGACTTGGACTTGGACAGTGACGGGCATTCAATGATCTGTGGTGTAGATAATACAAGGGCGGTGCAATTTTCAATTGAAGATGTATAATTAGGATGGAAAGCATACAGAAACATCTCAAGGAATACATCTTGTTTCATTACTGCTGACCAAGAGACAAAAATTAAATGTGAATCTAATCAGAACTTGCTGTATCATTACCACTTCACTAGCACTTACACCATCTCGTCCACAGTCTGAAAAGCAGACTCAAGGCTGTGTTTGCTTTGAGGTCGTTCGTGTTGTCCCACAAGGCACAAGGCAGGTCACTTGCAAGATGCAAAGCCAAGGGCAAGGGGTGGGTGTTCAGCGCAGTCCACACATCACATGGGGCACCCGCATCCACATTGAAGGCCTGAGTTTGAGTTCCTGCTCTGGCTCCTGACCCCAGCCTCCTGCTGATGTGCCCTGTGGGTGATGGCTCAAGTAGCTGTGTCTTTGCCACCCATATGGGAAGCTCCAGAGCGAGAGAGAAAGAGAGAGGGAGAGATCTTCCATAGGCTGGTTCCTTCCCCCAACTGGCCGCAGCAGCAATGTCTAGGCCAGGACAAAGGCAAAAGCCAGGAACTCCAGCCTGGTCTCCCACAAAGGTGGCGGGGGCCCAAGTACTCAGGCCATCTTCCGCTACCTTCGCAGGTGCCCTAGCAGGAAGCTGGATCACAAGCAGAGCAGGCGGCACTCCAATATGGGATGCCAGGGTCACAAGCGATGGCTCCACCCACCGCACCACAATGCCAGCCCCTTGGCCTCTGCCTTTACCCCAGGAATCCCTTCTACCCCACTCCTGCTTCCTGGGTAAGACCCTGGAGAACCTAAAGACTCAAGGGAGCCATGAAATATGGGGCTGCTAGGGCCTCCCACACACCAGATCGCCTGCATTTGAAGAGAGTAGAACAAAACTGGCCAGCACTCACTGAGCTCTGCCCCCGGGCACCTTGCTCAGTCGGCACTCCTGCTCTCTGGTGTGGGCAGGAAGACACGGCCCTCTCCAGGTGCTGCAGGTCCCCCTCCTTCTTACCTTCTACCTGCAGCCTAGGTGTGCTGCTAGAACCAAAGTAACCTGCCCTCCGTGGACCCAATACTGCTGTGAGATCCAAGAGACGAGGTTGACCCAGGACCTCGTGAGTGGGAACCTCAGTGTGGTGGCCTGAGGATGGGTCTGCATTAAGCCATTTCCCCAAGAGATAGTTCTGTGTTCTCCACAAATTCTGAAGAATCGCTGAATTTGGGAGTGGGTGGTGAAGGCTCCCAAGTCAGAATGGCTTTATGGTCTTTGAAATAGCGCATGGGAGGCAGAACCCTGTAGTTAACTTGGTGGTTCAGCATAAACGAGCATTCAAGGACTCAGGCCTCCACTTCTCTGCCATGTTCATCACCAGGGCCCTCCTAAGGCCATCTCTTCCCAGGGCTCAGCACAGTGGAGCTAAAAGCTTCATACCCACCCAGACACCCACGGAGAACAGCTCTCCTTGTCTCATCCTATTGGCTGAAACTTGGTCACCTGCCGACTTTAAGGCAATTACTAGGAAGGCGATGACCCTTGACCCATCACGGTTAGCCTCTGGGCTGGGTAGGTGGTTCTCTGGAGCCCTCCGTGGTGGGTGGGTGGGTGGTGGTAGTGGTGGTGGTGGTGGTGTAGGGGAGAAGGTGGGTACTGACCAAAGTCAGGTTGTTGCTGGGAGAAGGGGAGGATGGAATTTGTGTTCATGGCTGGGGGCCCCAAAGTCTGAGAGCCATTGAGCAGAACCCTGAGCTGGAACCAAGCTGCAACAGCACCTCCAGGGAGGCTTAGCACTGCCCTGGCCTCTCTGGTCTTTCACCCACACCCGCAGGAGAAACCAGACCTAAGGGTGGGGTGGTGGGACAGAGCATAGCTTCTCCCAGGCCTTGAAGCCAGGCCACAGCCTCCAGGGCCTCCCCTCTGGGTTCCCCTGGGGCTCATTCCACTCTGCTGAGCTGCAGTGCTGGAGCCCTGAGGCCTCCCAGGAGCCCCTTAGGGCAATGGGGGTGGGGTGGGGCTCTTCGCCATCAGCTGCGCCTGGTGAGCAGCAGGGCCATGGATCTCCATCCAGGCCCCGTGCCTGGCACTGGGAAGAAGACCAAGGACCCAGAGCCCTTGCCATGCAGCCAGGGAGGCTCAGGAGACCCCTCCCCACGTGCTCCACTAGGAGCACAGCGTCAACCTTGAGTCCTGCCTGTGACCCACCTGGGGCTCTGCAGACGCACTTGTGAGGGTCCCAGGGGGTGCCCCGCGAAAGGAGCTTGGACAGCAAGGAGAGCAGCCTTGGGTGGGTCAGGAACCCTGTTCGGGGCTCTTCCCTCGGCCTAAAGACCAAAGCCTGGCACTTGCCCCTTTCCTTGTCACAGGCAGTTCCTTCTCCTTGGGCCTGTCCCGGCCGTGAACTTGGAAGTCTGTGGAATCCAGCCAGGTGACGTTGGGCTTCACTGCTGCCAGTGTCGGTGTCCTCTCATATGAGGTGGGGACCCTGACAGTGCCCACCATGGGGAGTTAAATGTACTGAGGTACACAGAGAACTCAGCCCAGCCAAGCCCAGCCGAGGAGAACCGCTCAGCCAGAATGAGGTACCCTTAAACGGGCCACAGCCACCTTCCTCCCCGACCTGCAGGAGGCACTCGGGGAGGGGAGAGGATGGAGACTCCTTTGAGTGCCCCCCTGACTCCCAGAACTGGGGCTTAAGGCCTGGTGATGGAATAATTGAGATAAACTTGTGCACCTGAAGGGGGAGAATGTGCAATTT